TGAAGTAAATGGATACGAACGGGAGGAGAATTTCAAAATGCCACGCCAGCAGTCAACAGTAATTATGCGATATTTGGATGAATACTTCGCAATTTGTCGCATTGAATAGAAAAATAAGACAATTTCCTGATCTTCATAAACGAAATGGAAGTAAAAGTCAAATTTACTATGGATGTAGAAGAGAATGAACAATTACCTTTCTTGGATGTGGAAGTCATTTGCACCGAGGAAACTCGGAAGAAAAGACTTTTCCGAAAGGAATAGCTAGCTAGAATAACTTCTAATTTCCAATCTAACATACTTATGGAATGAAGATTGGAATACTCCGGAGTATGGGCATAAAAAGCCTACGACATACCGATTCTGAGTTTTGGGAAGAGGAATTCAAAAAACAATTCAGATGTCTTTGGAAAGCTCGGAGATAGCTGAACACATTACCGTCCACAAAATTGACTGGAATACAACGGAAAGAATGGTCTCATATGGGGAAGAAAACAGGAAAATGAAGACCAGGGAGGCAGTGAATAACTTCTTTCAAAAAAACCTGATGAACAGGAGACTGTAAAAAGGAAGAGTCAGTGATAGCTTCGCGTACTGCTTGAGCATACTTGAAAAATTAGCAAAAATATCAAAAAGACGCTTGAACCCAGAACAGCTGTTCAATAACAGGAAGAGACATCACAAAGGAGCGGCACATGAGGAACAGAGTGAAGTGAAAAAAGGCGACTGCATTAGGAGGAATCAGACGTGGAATTGGCCAAAATTTACTCAAAGACGCTTATTCCGGCTTTATCCTTGCATCTGCATCAAAGCGAAGTGCATTGGACCCTCAAATAAGAAATGCGGTGTCCCACCAACGTCGAAATTCAAAGCAAGTCTTACAACGACAGCCTCACAAATTCTACGACCTAAGGGAGTTTATTTAATTCATAATAGCATAAAGATTTTGCCTAGACTGACTTGGAATATCCGCAATGCGCAAATATTCTGGGTCATTCGGGGAGGCCTCTTTAAGGTGGCCAGATTACACAATACAACTACTCAGTTCTTTCCATCCTCTCATAAGTGTTCCCTTAATCACTTACATACCTGAAACTACGTATGCAGTACTACTAATAAGTTAAATACAACTTTCGAATTTAGACAGCCTCTACACTATATTCTTTCAATTTCTGCCTAACCAATAAGCCTCAGGCGGAGTCCTTTGTATCAGGAATATGAGAGTCTGGTCATAACAGACTTTAAAAATTTCAATTAGCCCATCAATGTTGTATACATACAACACAAATGCAATCACATATCTGAAAGTGTGTCAGCATTGCGAGATCAACTTAAAGGTAATTTAGGTAGGCGAAATGTTGTTCAGAAACACCAAATTCACTTAACTCATCTGCAAATATATAAGGATACGCACTTTATGGTGAATCAGATAAGAGGATGCCCCATTCAGAGTAAAAAAATGTGGACATAAGCAGATTAAAGTGGATCAGCATTCCTGACTGTGTTTGGTGAGTTTCAGAGGAAAATGGGTAAACAAGGGTCGCAAGACGGTGCACGAAGAACTTTTTCGCACAAATAAAAAATCACAACTGCAAGGCAATCCTCTAGTTTCAGGGTAGGCCAAATTACGGTTCCCTTTTACCCAACTTTTGATACTAAATTAAACGTCCAATGAGAGGAATAAGATTGTTTCAAGGTAAAGGCAACAACCTAAACAAGTAACTTAAATATTTTTGTAATGCTTCGCGTTCAATGAAATGTGTGGACGCCTATATGTCTGAAAGGTCTCTACAAAAAATATAGACTGTATAAATCAATGGAGCTGGGTTTGCATGCACTGGGTAAAAGCCTACTCTCTGCGCCCTTACAGAAAGGGTTAGAATCCGGCTATGGACAGAGAAGAGGACTTGCAGAGCTCTAAATCATACTACACCATAGATGGCTTTTATTGTTCTTCGATGTAAACCACAGTTCATTTTAATGCGTAATCTATTATATATAGAATCACTACTGCTCATTTATTCAGGCCAAACAACATCAATTAAACTGATAAATTAAGGGAAGTGAATGATAGATTACAGAAAACAGTGAAGAACGAATACGAATTTTGCCAAAGAATAAAAGACGCGAGGTTGGAAGGAAACGAATTTTGGGTGAGATTTGATGCTCAGTCCATGTACACTAACATCACAGGAGAAAAAGCATTCATTGCAATAGGGGAGATCTTGAAAAAAGAAAATGACATTCTGAGGACAGAAAGAATGCGTAGAGTCCCAAACTAGATTAATCAACCTAATAAAAAGAACAACATATTTCACATTCAACGATCGCATCTGAGCAAATATTTGGTCTGCCTATGTGCTCACCACTCACCTCTTTTGGCTGATGTATTCAAGTACAAGTTGGAAAAGAATTTCAAAATGTCACCCCAACAGCCAACAGTAGTTGTGCGATATTTGGATGACTACTTCGCAATTTAATCGCAGATAGTTGAACATATCGCCCCTACCGGCCACAAAATTGACTGGAATGCAATTGAAAGCTAGCCGCATATAGGAAAAACACCAGGAAAAGAAGGATAAGGGAGGCTGTGGGCATTCTTTTTCAAAGAAACCTGATGAACAGGAGATTGAAAGAGGAGAGAGCAAGCGATAATTTCGCGT